TTTTTTCTCCTCCCCGATCCAGTGACTAAGTACTACTAGTTCCCTCCCACTTTCGTTCCTCTTTCCAAAGCTTGTCCAGGTCATCACTTCACACTTAAAACATTCCAATAGTCTCCTAACTGGTAAGCTCCTTGAGATCCAACTGCATTTTATTCATTTATCTTCCACACCTATCTCAGGGCCTGGCACTGAGCTGATGCCTAATAAATGGTCCATTACCTCTAAGGCTGTCTCTGCCTCCTATCCATACTGCCACCAGACGCCTTTTTGAAATGCTAATTTGTACATGACACACTATCACTCAGTTTTCATGTCTGTTCACTGTCTATGGGACAGTCTAAATTACTTCCTCCTGGTACTGGAGCTCTATCAAGTTTCATTCTAATACTTTCGTTCATCTAACAAATCCATACTGTTGTACACCCCAGGTCCAGTGCTAAGCCTTGGAGAACAAAATGGGGGTACAACAAAGCCCCTGCTCTCTGAAATCTAGTATTCATGTCCTCTTAATATTTCTACACAATGCCTTTCTCATCCTCTCCACATAGTTGAGTCAGCACCTAAACATGTTCACCAAATGTGGAAATAAGGTTCCTTTTGTAAGATGAAACTCATTAAGGCCAGACAGGTAACACATCAATAAGCAATGTCTACCATTTACTGTGTGCCAGGCATTGTGTTAAGTGATATATTATTTCATTATATATTCATGGCCTTTTGAGAAAGGTACTCCTCTTATGTGATAACTCAGGCTCAAAGGTTCATTTTAAGGTCATTCAGCTAGTAAATGGTGAATAAAAATCCAGATCTATTCCAAAGCCCAGGGTTAAACAGGCTGAAACCGCTTGACCCGCTCCAGAAGATGGTTTTCAAATGAGATCCAGGAACACCCAAGTCCAAGGTGACGAAATTACTAGCTGCTTCTCTGGCATGACTTTCGAGTTCCTTCAAGGTAGCCTTCTTTGCACCCCCAGTGTGACAGTCAATTCTATATTTATTCATTGCTGCTAAAGCACATCATAACCCACAAATATTAATTTAAAAAAAACTTATTTGGGCAATGGATTATACTGAGGTATACTTGGAGACCAAATGATGTTCTGAGGTGATGCAAAAGAGGGTACTACTACTTCTGAAACCCTCCTCTGATCCACTGATTCTCTTTTGAACCAGAGACGGGGAACTCCACAGTGACAGGACTGAAACAAACAGGGCACCATGAGTTCAGCCATAGTAAAGGCGCTTTCAATTCAGGCTTCCGGCAAGAAAAGCTCTGGGTGATACTGGTGACCAGCCTGGTGGCCCTTCAAGGTATGTTCGGATAAACCTTAACCACCCCAAGCAATGAGGGCGCTATACCTTTGACATCTTGGTTCTTCTCCAAGGTTGGAAAGGAGGCCGAGTGGGAGATGGAAGTGCTCCTTGAGCCCAGGCTGCCCACAGGAAACAAGGGATCCCAAGGGACTCAAGTCTTCATACTAACCAGGGAAAGATGGATGAATCACTTTCCATTGGGAAGGTGGTCAGACCTATGAGGAAAGGCCTGGGGGAGAGGCAGGTAAATAAAGCTGCCTCTACTTGCTGGATGATCAGAGGGCTACAAATTGAGGCCAGTACGTAACAATGAACAGGGCAAGAGGCAGACTGGGTCTGGAAGTGGGTTTTGAACAATGTAGCTCCTCGGCGAAGGCTGACGGCCAGATTGAGTCTATTAAACACTTCTAGATGAGTCAGTCCTCTGAGCGCCGTTTATGACTATGAATCAGGTTTCTCCCCATTAGATAACAAGACTGGCCCTTGCCACGATTTACCATGACATTTTTACATCATCAGTGATTCACGCCGATTCTTCTGTCCTTGGCATTCTGAATTCCATTTTATTTAGGTTTTCCTCAAATCAGTAACCAGCGTTTCAAGTGCCACCAGAATGTAAGCTGTATAAATACTGGGGCTTTTGTCTTGCTTACCCCCCAAAATAGACAGCAGCAGGCACATGTAGGCTCTTCATAAATTTGTTCCAAGAATTTGTATGATGGCTTAGGCTTTACATAACGGTGATCCTACAACCTCAAACAACCCCTTCAGGCAAAAGTTCCCTGATGACATCAGAAAACAGGTACCAACAGGTTAAATGTCGCCCAGGTTCACAGGAATGGTTAGGTCCTCCTCACTCTAAGACCTTGTGCCCTCAGCAATTACCTGCTATCATCCATAAGCTTCGGACTCCTTCACCACCCTCCCCACTCGGAGGCTGCTTCCTCTCATTCTTCCAGCCCCTTAAATAATCAGAAGAAAACAGACCTTATCTGTGATCCTTAGCAAGGCCCTGGCAAATGTCGCCTATGCCACTTTTCAAGGGGAACCTGGTAAATATCAAGCAGTCTGACGTTTGAGACATAATTCTTTATTAAATCTAAATTCCCTCAGATGGTTAGGCTACTGTTAGTAAAATGAATTTTATTTCTTCATATAGAAAACTCTATAAAGAGGGCATTGAGCCTGGCCATACACTCTACCACCACTTACTACCCCGACTCCCCAGTTATGCTAGAGCAAAAAATCTCTAAGCTCCTTTCCCTTCTCCAGTCAGGTGAAGAGAAGAATGCAATTTTGATAATTCCTTCATTTTCTTTATCCTCCTTCCCTAACTCGAGACTTAGCAGAATTATGGAAGAGGTAGCGTTCAGCAAAACAAAAGTACACACATTTTCTCAGGCCTGAGGGGGTCACGTTAAATCGAGTAGTCATCTCAGTGGTGAAAGGATGGGGAGTTCCTGGATCTCTGTGCCTCCCTCAGCTCATGACTCATTTCCGTGAGTATCCTTGTCCTATCACGGTGCCAACCATTCAGTGCTATCCTTGCAAAACCTACCTTCAATTTTTTATGGCATCTGTTTCTTCTTTGTTTGTCCTACCTTGCAGTGAGGAGGTCAAAGGTTGGCTCCCTCCCCATTTCCACCAGGATCAGATTTGCACAAGATCACAACTGCAGCTTCAGCAATAAGACACAGCTCATAATACATCCTGTTTCTTCCNGAAAATCCAAGAGGGTCAACTGAAAAATTATGATAATGACAGAATTGAGTAAGGGAAGGCAGCTGGATATGACATTAATATATAATAATCAACAGTCTTTCACATAGGAACAACAATAAACAGTTTAAAAATATAATAAATGAGATAAAAGAAAAATGACACAGAGAAACAAAAATAAAATGGGAAAAAGATGACGACGTTTTCAATAGTGGCAAAAATATAAAATATTCAGAAATAAACTTAATAAGAAATGGACAAGACCTTTATGAAGAACACTCGTAAACGTGGCTGAGATACATCAAAACACAAGACTTAAAAAAAGGAAAAGAATATCATGTTCTTAGATCAACAATTTCCCTATTGATGAAAATTGGGTGTTTCCTTGACCTGGTTTTTGTTCAATTTGGGTTTTTGGTTTTGGGTTTTTTTTTTTAACACATGGTAATTTTTCTTAGTTAGGGTTAAAAGATATAAATATAAAAGGTAAAATAATAAAAATATTGGAAGAAAATTATAACCTCAGCCTGAGGGAAACTGTCTTAATACAGGAAACAGATTATTTAAATGACAGATATATTGTATTTAATTGCATACAAATGTACATTTTCCTTATGGAGAATAACAAAGTCGAAACAAACAACACATTGGGAGGAAATATTTGTATTAAAAAAATGGTAGATAGGTTAATATCTCTAACATACAGAAAGATCCTACAAGTTGATTGAAAAAAAAATGCAAAGAATGTGAACATGAATTCACACAAGAGGAAATGTTAATGACCAATAAACATTAAGCGCTCTTCACCCTCACTCGTCATGGAAGTGCAAAATGAAACAGTGAGATCTAATTTTTCATCCCTCAGGTTGGCAAAAATGAAAGATAGATAATACCCAGTGCTGGCAAGCTCATGGAGAAATGTACATCATCAAACATTTTTGTTGAACATGTTAATCTTGACCACCATTTTAGAGAGTAATCTGATAGTATACAGTAGAAAAAAATTTAATGTTCATATTCTTTGACTCAGCATTCCAATTTAACTTAGAAAAAAATCTGAAAACACAGCTTTCAGTGTCTCTGTCTCATCTCTCTACCCCCCTCTTCTCTCGACTACACCTCACTTCCCAGCCAACTGGACTCTCAGCCATCCTCCACCTCCCTCAGACTCTAGCCAACCAAAGCTAGCGCCTGGGATGGAGAGGTGGTCTTGGGGCCGTGAAAGACCTTGTTTAGGACTCCCCCTGTGCTTTCAGGAAAGCGAGGCCTAGGACATCACAGAGTCAACATTTGCTTCGAGTTCTTGGAGCTGCTGACATCGTGCAGGATGCTGATGGCGCCAGGCAGAGGCTGCTTTGGCCTGGCCATCCTGCTGGCAGTTGTGGACATCCAGCTCGGTGGTGAGGACAACCCATCCCAGGATCCTCAGGGCAGGGACAGCCATCAGGGAGAATCCTGGACTCGTGAGGAGCCCAGAAGCAGCCCATGATTTTTTTTCTAGTGGGGAAGAAAAGGACCCACCCTTCTTGACACCAAGGTGGAAAATGTAGTTTTTCATTTTTATCAGAATACTATTGCCCACCTCATCAGGCATTCTGTCACTGCAAAGGGTCTGGTAATGTGTCCCTTGGTCTAAGATTCCTACAGGATTTTATACACTCTTAAGTTTATGAAATCTAGGTACCACAGTATTTGTCAACTCTGGCAACCCAAGTAACCACTCTGTGCCTCAGTTTGTTAATCTATAAAAAGGGAACAAGAACACCTGTGTCTAAGGCTATATCGAGGATTAGATATACACAAGAGCACTTTAGTTGTTAAAGTGCTTTATGAAAGTTCCAGATGGAGAATAGAAATAAAATACAAATAACTCCTGAATAGCTGGGATTGCAGTTCTCCCTCAGATATCGGTATAACTCGCAGGGTGGTATTTAATGTCCACGGGGTAGCCCCCATCTCTGCCTCAACATTTACACATAAGTGAATCATTTACCACGTATGCCTGGCCTCCCGTGGTCAATTCCTCCTTTCCCATTCCAGGATGCATGCAGATCCTCAGCTCGTATTCCCAGGAGGGCAAGCAACTGAGCTTTATCTGTACTTTGCTGCATAAGAAAGAAGAGGCGGAGGGGGTTACCGTGTTTTTGTGCAAGGACAAGTCTGGGGACTGTTCCCCAGAGAACAGCTTGGAGCAACTGAGGCTGAAACGGGATTCTGGGACAGATGGTGTCAGCGAAACATCATCTCAGCTGGTGTTCACCATTGACCAAGCCACGCCGCCGGACAGTGGGACCTACCAGTGTTGTGCCAGCAGCCAGAAGCCAGATGTCCGCCTCCAGGGCCGTTTCTTCTCCGTTTTAGTCACAGGTGAGCTCCTGATGTCCCTAATACCACCAGGTGGGACATAAGCAGGGTCCACAGCTGGAGACAGAAGTAGTTGTATTTATAGGCAGTTAGTTGCTTGGGGGAGTGTCCTTTCCATGACTCAACCCTTCTCCATCACTCCCACTGGTAAATGCTTTCCTCAAAGCATGAATACAAAGGTAACCTCATTTTGTCCTTCATTTTAAAAAACCTTACTGAGGTAGCCGTCCCATTTTTATTGACGCTGAGACTGAATCACAAGGAGGTAAAGCAACTTGTCCAAGGTCACTCACTGACCAGTGCCAGTCAAAGCAGATGAGAGGCTTGGGGTTTCGGCCTCCTGATTCGCCGATCGGAGCTCTCTCTGAGGTGTGGCTGTGTTTCTAAATACAGGTACTAAGCCTTCAGGCTGGGACGGAGGAATGGATTTGAGATAAAATGGATGGCTGTCTTAAAGAATATTTAGTTGTAAGAAACCAGAAACCCATTCAAACTGCCATAGATTATAGGGGTAAAATAATAAAGCAAGTATGGCGGGCCCCCCCAGGAGTTGGTTTCTGGAATCAGAAACCAGAAAGCCAACAGAACCCTAAACAGTTCCTGTCTGTCTCTCTGGGGCAGCAAAGCCTCCCTCCCACCTCTGCATATCTCCTTTTTGTGCCCGCTCCCCTGCTGTTGCTACTCTGGCACAGCCTACACATGGCCACTCCAGCCTCAGCTTTACTTATGTGGCTCCCTCATATGCCCAGCAGTGACTCTGTGGTTCCTATCTGCCCCTTGGAGCATGCCTTCAAAACTGAAGATGATGTCCCACCCAGAATTCTGTGCCCAACCAAACTACCCATCAAATGTGAGGAGAGAATCAAGACATTGTCTGATATGCAATGACTCAAAACAAATTTGTCTTCCATGGGATCTTTCTGAAAAAGTTACCAGAGGTGGTGCTTCAGCAAACCTAGAAAGTGAATCAGTAGAGGGGACAAAATGGGACCCAGCAGACAAGGACTCTAATAGAGGAAAGGAGATAAGGAAATTCTAGAATGAAAAAGGGTCCCAAAGAGCAATTAATCCAGAGGAGAGCAAGAGAAAGAGGGCTCTGAAGGGAAATCTCCAGGGGATAAAAATGGAATCGATAGATCATCTTTCCGAAGGCCTATGACAAATATGGCAAAGGATGGAAGACATGGGTATGGAACGGTCTGCCAGTTTAAAAAAAAACAAAAAACCAGGTGATCATTATCTCCAGGGAAAACACTAAATTTTACCAAAGGAAACACAATCATAGCACACAGTGTGTGTAATAAGAACATTTACACTATCCAAATTATGTAAACAATTTCACTAAAATTTGTAATAATGATTTCTGAAAGATGCAGAGAAGAGGCTAGAGGCTTCAGAGAACCACATCCTCATCTTCTATAACAGAAAGTCAGTAAATGTCCAAACGTTATCACCAAGAAGTGGTAAGATGAGCACATTATTTAAGAATATAGTGAAACATCTCCAAGAATCGACAGTGATTGTCTCTGGGGAATAAGACTAGGAGGCTAAAAGGACACTGCTATTATCTTTTCAAATACTATCATACTTTTTAAGACATAAATTACACACACACATTAAAAACCTGGCCTAGAGCCTTTTATTATCTTCTATGGTTAGTAGTTAATCCAAATTTTCTGCTTTAGTTTGATTTAGATTTTCTTCACGCTTCCTGGTGTCTGTCTCCCCATCTGACCCCGATATATAGAGCCTTCAGCACTTCCATTCTCTCCTTTGTCAAACTCCACCTCCATTGGCTTCTGTGACTCTGCGCCACTGGTTTTCCTACCTTTCCGGCTGTTCTTTTCTCTCCTTTGCCTCTATTTCCTCCACGCACCTCTCCATCCTAATTCATTCCCCAGCCTCACTCCTCACCCCTTCCATCTTTTCTACTATTTCTCC